CTACCTTCTGCATTTCTTCCAAATATGCATCAGTGAAATCCCGGGGTTCTCCAGGAACCAGGGTCGCCTTGTGCTCTTCCACCTCTTTTTCAAAAAAAGCTTCTACTTTCTTTGAAGATGTTAGTATTCTCTGATGGGGCAGAGGAAGCCTCCTCACTAAGGGCACCACGTTGTAAAGCTGCCAGCAAAGACAAGAAAAGCCAACATTGATTAATTTGACCACAATGGAGTCTTCTTTGTAGGATTTATAGAGCAGGAAAAAGATCCCTTCTATTTTAAAGGGTTCTTGGAAATCTCTCTTATTCATTATTTGATAGAGAGTCAAATGTCCAAATCAGGCAAAATTTCAATACAGAAATTCTTGTTAAGGATACCAAGCCCCACGGTCCCAGTGCCATTTTCAAACTTTGATGTATCTCATGCAGCAGAGTTTTCAGGAAGCTCTTGTCATATTCAAAACGTTTCCCAAATATTATGGTAAAAATGATGTTGCTGACTGCATTCTGCAGAAACTCATGAGGATCAAAAGGCACACCTGTGGAATAAAAGAAAAGAAAAGAGATCTCTACTGATCCACCCTCCTGCATGTTCCTTTAGGGGAGTCACAAGATGCTCTCCCCTAAGCAGCTTTACTGGTTGCCAAGGCATCACTGGAAGAACACAAAGTAAATCCACTATAGATTCCAGTTCTCTAATCAGCTCACCGTGAACGTTTTGGCAAAAGAGTCGCCAAGGTCCAAATGATGTCTGCCATTTTCAATCTTTTTCTAAGAGATAAAAATCTTACTGAACTTTAAAGAAACGACATTGAAAAGTGTTAGCCCTGCAAGGTAGTTCAGAAAAGAAGTACAACCGGGAGTATCAGCTGTATGTAATGTACAATTAAAAAGACTGCTTGGGGACTATCAAGACAAAGAATATGTCTGTGACATTATCATTACTGTATATCTTTTGGGACAGCTAGAAAAATTAGGTGACAAGCTCCATACATTGAAGGAAGTGATGAATGAACAGTCAAAGGAAAACATTTCATCTAAAGCATTTCTTGCTTCTCTTCCATGATTCAGAACCTGAGTAATCCTTGAGATTTCTGCTTTCCATCATGAACTGCTAAATATGTATTCTTAGTCCAATCTCAATATGTTGCCATGTTGGACTTAACTCCATTGCAAACATATCCTGGTGAGCATTGCCAGTAGAGATGATTGACTTTTAGTCCAACACTTCTGGAGATCATCGCCTTGAGGAAAGGCTACTAGGTCATCACAGGGGCAGCATGGAGCATGGTGGGAGGTGGGCGCAGTGAAGGATGGCAAAGAGCGTTCCATGAAAACAGAGGTTGGCGAATAAGTATGTTTCCTAGGCTGGCTGTTTTATATATGATGACTCTCCCACCTTTTCCCCAGTTTTCTATGGAGATCCAAAAGCATTCTCAGAATTCTAATTGGTAGCTCCCACGCTAAGAAAGTCACAGGACTGTTGCTTTACAAACATGCCAAGCACAGAGACAAAATGAACAGTGTGTCTTATTTTGGTCAATAGAGCTTGGAATTTTGTGCAACCAGAATTCTGAGCTTCTCCCACTCTTCTTCAATACACACACCCAGTGGTCAATTTGGAGGTCAATTGAGTTGTGTCCTCTGGACAAAGAATCAACACTGAAATGACGATTCCCTAGCCATCCCATCCTGTCCCAGGAGAACTTACTTGTCTCTTCAGTGAATGCCTCAATCAGATAAGTTGCCTCCTCCAAGATCTTTTCCTCCATTGATTTCTTGCCCACTCCAAAGTTTCTGAGAAGCATCAGTGAAAACTTTCTTTGCTCCTTCCAGACTTCACCGTATCTTACTGTCAGTATACCTAAAAAATCATCCAACAGTCATTCACCTGTATCTTGTTTAAACGTAATGATTGATTGATTGATTTTTAAAAGAAAGGTATATTTTCAAAAATAATAATTTTAGTATATGAACAGAGAATTACTAAACAATTAATGCTCAATTAGTAGAACATAATAATGCCAAGCAAAATACTTTGAGTAGTTTCTCTCATGGTCTAAGAAAGAAGTATGAGCTTTTGCAGCTGAATGCCAAAATCTCTAGTATACGATTATTCATCAGTGTTTAAAAAGAAAAAAGGAGAAGGGAGTAATTCTAACATTTCAAGAGATTATTCCTTCTCTTACTGGAATCTTTTGGTCAGCACTCCAGAATGCAGAGAAAAAGGGATATTGGTAGATAGACAACAGAATGGATAACTTGGGGTCTTCCCAAGACCAAACAGGCATTTGGAAAAGGAAAAAAAGGGCTTGGAAATTACATTCAGTTACCTTTTTTTTTACTGAGGGCATCCATTATAGGAAAGTCTGGCCTCCCAGCAAATTCCTTGCCTTTTATCACAAGGACCTCTTTTGCTGAAGGAAATCCATGAGTTATGACTGCAGGTGTTCCTCCAAGATAAACACTGAAGACTGGACCATATTTTTTTCCTAGCTGAAATGAAGTAGCCAGGATTAGCATAGAGGCCTTTGGAAATTAGTTGGGGCCAAACACTGCAATCTTGCAACATGAAACTTCATCAAGGCTGAGTATGAGAAACCTATCCAGAGCTCCATTCTACTCCATTCCCCACAGTGTTCAGACAATGCTCCTTCCTATTCATGCATAGAGGTAACTGTAAGCATTCTATATACAAAACTTTAATGGGACCCCAAAGCAAGAGAGTGATTTGCATCTTATCTGGTAGAAGTTCAGAATGTTTTTCTTGGCCAAGCACTCTTCTTAGGAGAAGTGTTAGAAACAAACTCTGCAGTGATGCAAGATCAAGGAAGGGGCTGAAAATTACCTATAGCTGCACTGAGTGCCTCCCCAAAACATCCAGCCACTTCCCTTTCCTCTTCATGCAGAAGCGTAACTGTAAGCATTCTGCATGCAAAATTTTAATGGGATCCCTTATCAAGAGAGTGAGATTTATCACATCTGGCAGAAGTGCAG